ACAATTTTTTGTCCACGATTTCGGAAGAACGGATCAACCGATTCGAATGATTCAAAAAACCTTGGATTCATATTGATAGGGAGGCTAATTAGTTTTTAGCCTGGCCAGATCTAGCCATTTAGAAGATACAGACGATAAGTACAGAAATAGTAATTCAGCTGTTGAGCGCGTCCGATTTGCATGATTCAAAAAAGTTTGTGTTGACGAAATGAAGATAAAAATTTTGGAAAGGCAGGTCAAGCGGTTCTGGATATTCAATAAAGAAATGTAAAAAAATATGATCAAGCGGTCAAAAATGATCATTATCATGTTTTATAGGGATTTTAATAATTAGTACACATTCTGTTTACATTTTTATGGGTTTTGTATCAAGATTTATAATGTGTAATCGTTATACTGCGAATTTCAATATTTCGTTTCTAAAATAGCTACGCAGCGCAATCGCTTTGGAAAAAAATGAAATTTTCAAAAAAATTTAAATTATCCAAAAAATCAATTTCAGCAAACAATTTGATGCTTTTAAAAAGGCACACATACACACATATCCATTTTTTCTGAGGTATGCCAGAATGTTCAGAAACTTTCAAAACGTGAAGATATGCAAAAATTTTCATTTTTGATTTTCGGCCCATTAGTATAACTACCCTACGGGAAGTTGAAAATTCAAAATTTATAAACAAATTAAATATTGTCAAAAAAAATCAATTTCAGAAAAAAATAAAGCTTTTAAAAAGCATTCTAAAACATCCAGCAATTTGCCTTAATGCACCACTAGTTTTCTATTTGCAGTTATATTATACATCCATTTATGAATTTGCGGTTAAATGTTACTTATGATCGTAGAAGAAATGAACAATATAATATCTTTATTATTATGGGAGTTTATATATTCGAGCGCTTAAGCAAATGCATGCAGAGATAAAGGGTCTGTCATGTCTAGTACATGAAAGAAAATCTTTATTGCACTTTCCGAATTTGTTTCTCGGAAACTTCACTAGCTGGATCTTTGTTTGTTATTCGGAATTTTCCTCCAGGGTATTATCGATGAGGATTTACTTGAGACTGAAAAGAAAAGGAATATATGGCGTTCAAATGAGAAAAATCTATTTACTAAATTACGAGCGGATTGTGTGCTTCATTTCTAATTTATAGGTTTGAATCGCGAGTTGGCTTACAAAAACAACAAGCAATTTATACTCGTATATAACAACGTATATCAACAGGAATGAACGTTGAGCTTGAATATTTAATATGTGTATATTGTCAACAAATCTGATCTACATTGTAAATATAATTATGAGCGTTATCGTTGGCTTTCTTGTTATATTGATTCATGTACTTTATGCAAGTAAACTCTTTCAGATTAATATTTTTATTATCTACACTTTATTTGCGGGATTATAAGAACGAAAATGCACAGTGCTGAGTATGAAGTATTACTGTAGAAAATGCGCATATTATTTATTCGAAAGTCCAGACTCGGTAATGCTTTTCGCGCACCTTGCAACCATTCTCACGCGGGTACACTCATTACCCTATTTTGTTCTATTATGTGAGACGAGTGCAAAGGAGAGCTAATCAGTTAGGAAGGAAACGTTCCATTCTCTACGAAAACTGCAATTATATAATCAATTAATATTCATTTTTATTCAAATGAGAATATCTGTGGTTATTAATTAGAATTATTTTCTTGAGTGCTGCTCTATGGCTGTGTTTAATTTGCTACAGTTATGGTGAATAATCGAGTGCTTTATTAATGTTACAGTATCATTTCTCTTCAATCACGAGTGATTTGAATAATCTTTGCAAATGCATCATGTGACCGAGCTTTGTCATTTGTGCATGTGCTGTACATTGTAATGTATGCGCATTACACATGTATATGCATATCAAATCTCTTTACATGAATTATGAAGGATGGAGACAGAGTAATTTAACGACCAGTGATTTCACTTGGTCAATAATTCACCGGTGGAGTTCTGTTTGAGTAAAACATTCATATGACTTATGGGTCTCGGTTGATCGTACTGATACGTATATCGAGTTTTAACATGGCTTTTGCACCTTCAGCTTGTTTTGTTGCAATCACCCGCATCTCTGAATTGCAACAATAAGAATCGTTCGTTTACCAAATCGACGCTGAGTCTAAGACGAATCGTGATTAATGTGCCTTCATCGGTGCAGTTATTATTTGAGTTTCTATTTCTGTTAGTCGCGCTTTCGTTTGTTGCAGCTATAGACGTGTGAAGTGTTTTTGAGATTTTTTCCGTAAATTGATAAGATTCAGTAGACGACGCTCAGGATTCGTCTTTTGCATTATGCATTGTCTGTCGCATGCTTCATGCAATAAAAATACATTATTCCGTGAATAAAGTACTTATTCACGTAACCGAATAACGCCGATGGCTATCAAGGGCTCTGAGAGGCTTAACTTTGCACATCGGGGATGCAAAATAAGTCGTTCAGGTTAAAGCGCGATGAGGCAATATAACATTATAATCAAGTCGGTTAAAGTCTTTGCCGTCGAGTTTGATCTCGAATTAAAAGATTTTCATTGTTGTTACATATATTTACTTAAAATAAATTTGTAAATAATAGTTGTTATCTCGAAACAGTTTCAATTTGTTCTTTGGACTTTTTGATTAATTTTTAACTTGAGCATTTGATGCTTATCTTCAACACATTGTTGAGAATACTAACAGCCTTGGCTATTAACTGCGAACATTCGGCATCGTGTTTAGAATACGCATATTTATCTATTTGTTAACTGACAATGAGCAAAAAGATATTTGCCCGTTGAATACAATACCATTAATACGCATGAACGATGAAAAATGGCATTAAAGATAAGCACGAACGCATTTTAATATAATAAATATGTAAGCAAAAGCATTAATCATCGATAATAAAGTATATTCATTGAAGCATTGACAACAAAAAGCGCAATGAGGTTCCTTATAGCACAATAGATCGTACGGGTTGAGCAATGATCATATTTTTTACATCGATCTCTTTGTTGAGTGTCTGTACAATCAGCGAGTTAAATATATTTGTACATGTGTGTTAATCACATTCACAGAAAGCTATTTCAAGGCATTATATTTGCATTTATTGTCAATGTGAAAAATTAGCGCGATAAAAAATACTTCCTGGCTCTATTATATACACTTTTGTAAATTGTCAAGATATACTTACATCAGCTAGATAAGTTTCTGGTCTGTCGTTCTAGTATACAGTGTTGAGGGGGGCTTAAAGATCCTCGGGTAAAAAGGTTCACCACTGATATCTAAAAAACAAGTAAAGTTAGGGATTGTTTAACAACAATATTTGAAAGTAGAGGAAAAAATATTTATAACCATCACCTTGATCCTTACGACGTTGCTATCGGGAGATAAACGGCAATATTGTAAAATCCATGACAAAAGTTATTTCTTTCGTTGTTAATTAAGTTTCCGAGACTTTAATATAATTTTTAAGTATACGTTATTGAATTGTTTTATAAGATGTATTCTTATTTTTAAGTTAGATTCAGCAGTTTTTTATATAACTCCTATAAAATCTTACGTGTAGGTGAGGTAAAAAGGACCAACTGAACCTTTACTCTGGCGAAGGTGTTACCAATAAAAAATAGTAAATAAAAAGTAAATTATGTTTAAAAAAGCAATTTAGCAAGAGATAAATTAAATAAGTAGTTATTATAACTGATGAATATTTTTTACATCTATTACATCTCTGTCGACAAAATTCAGGAATTATTCATTTCTCTCAATGATAATAAAATTCGTAATAAAAAATAAATATCTGCAATAAGCAATTTCCTTTTGGATTGAATGGCTGGTAAATTTACTTACTATATTGTAAACATTTATAATATGCAAGTATGTACGTTGCATTTATCAACTTAAAATTTTAATTGGATAACATAAAAGAATCCAAAAGATTTCTTAGCACTATAAAATAAAATTTGTAATATAATTATTCATATATAAATATATTTTATATGGGGCCGATTCTGCCATAAAGTGGATCAATGTTATGACAAGACTATGTTATGTAGCAGTTTTCATATAAAGTAGTACTAAAAACTGTCAAATTCCTATTTGGTTGCTGTTTAGTTGGGCGTTTTAGATTGAAAACCTAACCTAGAAACGTGGAGCGACTAGGGCGGATGCTGAGCACGCTATTATAGAGTGGGATAAGGGTAGGCAAGAACTATGGAGGGAGAAAGTAAGGCAAAAAATATACCTCCCAACAAATAAAATTGTAAAGATAACTCATACAATGTATATGACTAACGTACGTTTATACAAAGTCGACAAATAAGCAATATAAAAATGACAAAAAATGATATTATCATAAGGGGGCGTTCATTAATCACGTGAGGTTTTTAGGAGGGGGGGGGGTTGACAAACAATTACGAAATATCATGTGGGGGAGGGAGGGGTATAGCAAGATATCACGTGCATTTATTTTTTTTACTATTTTTTATACGGAAAAGTTCAAACATTTTTTAAAAAAATGAAAAGTTATACAGTTTTTTCACGTAACTAAAAATACACGTTATGTTTGGTGGGGGAGGGGGGATAATTTTGAATATCACCAAATATCACCAAGGGGGAGGGGGGGTCTAAAAATCCTTAAAAACTCGCTCACGTGATTAATGGACGCTCCCTAACTGGATCTTTGAGGTATGGCTTGATAACATATGAGTGAAGTTGTATTTTATGCGTAAAACGTCTGATCGGACAGCAAATACATTTTGACAGTTTTTAGTAGCATTTTGTATGAAAACTTGAAAGTAACATAGTCTTGCCATAACATTGGTCAATTTTGGCAGAATCGGTCTATATAAATTCTTTTGATGTTTTTATGTGTGTGATAATGATACATTTACACCTAGATTTAACTTTATGCTGCCTAATCATTATCTGATGCAATTGATTCCTGATGCTTATTGTTATTTCCCTGTTACAGAGCCGCCGCGATACGAGACGGTGTACGCCTGTGAAGGCAAGACGCTGAAAATCGACTGTAAACCGGGCGAGCAGATCAATCTGATCCGAGCGAACTACGGTCGATTCTCCATTACGATCTGTAATGATCACGGAAACACCGATTGGAGTGTCATCTGTATGGCGCCGAAGACTCTACGTGTACTACACAACAAGTAAGTCCTAGTCTTATCTGTTATCATTCGGTGCGGTATCAGCTGATGCCAAAGCAAACCCCTTACCGTTATTAGAATTGTACCTTGCACGACGGCTTTGGATAGGAATGCATCTCTGGTACTTTTCTATAGTACGCAGTTAATTCTTATATAGATGTGGTTTCATTTGGATGTTATGAAAATTTAAAATTGTGGTCACAAAATTTAATTGGTACATTTATTTTTATCTTCCCGTAGGGCAAGTTATAGTAATCGCAAAAAAATCGAAAATGAATATTTTTACATATCTTTTATATATCAAAACCTTCTGAACATTTTGGCATACCTTAAAAAAAATGGATGTATGTGTGTGTGTGCGTGTGTGTGTGTTCGGATATAAATTTTCATCGATGATTTCGGGAACACGAATAAAGCGATTTGAATAATTCAAAAAACATTCGATTTGTATTGATAAGGAGACGTGCTGATTAGTTTTTGGCAAAGGCAGGTCTACCCGTTCTGAAGATATGAGGCAAAAAGTGCCAAAAACGGTAACTCAGTTTTTAAGAGAACGGAGCGTCCGATTTGAATAACTTAAAAAACATTTTATTTGTATTGACTAAATGACTAACTGTTCAAATTTTTGGAAATGAAGGTGCAACGACTTCGGAGATATGGAGGAAAAAGTAAAAAAATGAGCCATTTGGCGGTCAAAAATGAACGTTAGACATATGCACATCAAATTATCAGATATTTTATAGAGATTTTAACAACAAGTATAAATTTTCTTTACATTCCTATGGGTCCGTACCAATGTTTATCCGTTAGACGGCGACGCGGCGCTTACGCGCTTTGATATTTTGTCTCTATACAGTTAAAGCAGTACGATTGCTTTGAAAAAAAGTTCAGAACTTCCAAAATATTTCAAAATAAATTTTTCTTCAAAAAGTCTTTTTTTTTCAAAAAAAGTAGATTTTTGTCAAAAATTTATAGTTTCTCAAAAATCTAATTTTTTCAGAGTAAATTTTTTTTCAAAAATGTTAATCTTTTTTTAAAAAAATAATTTTTGGTACGGAAAGTTCCAGCAATTTGCCTTAAGGCACGATGCCTTGCGCCCCACTAGTTATTGGGGTACAGTTTCGAATACAGATCAAGCATTTGTGATACACATTTTTACTTGAAAATATATATTATATATATGGTTCAATGTCCGTTTTATAAGTGAAGCATCGGCTGGATCTGCCTTTGCCAAAAACTAAACACGTCTTGCCGTCAATACAATTCGAAAGTATCTTGAATCTGTTAAATCGGTTGATACGCGTTCCCGAAATAGTGAATAAAAATTGTATCCAAACATACATATGCACACGCACAATCACTACATAAAGTTTTTCAATAGTATGCCAAACTTCAAAACGTGAAGGGTATGCAGATATTTTCATTTTCGACTTTTTGCGGTTACTATAAAGTACCTTACGGAAGGTTAAAAATGTAATAAAATACCACATAGATCTCTGTTAGTTTTTTTATCGCAACAAGGTTTTCGAAAAATTGTCAACTCACAATAAATCCAATCGAGCACTTGTAAGTTTTCGCAACGATTGTGTGCTGACCGGGTGTGATGGGAATGAAAGCAATTATATTTTATCTGTGTCCTGGGTTTGAAACCTGCACTTGGGTTAGACCGATATACGTACACTGCTCTACAAAGAGATGAGACTATTGAAAACGTTGATTAATAGTGAATCATATTTGATTTGTTGGAGGGCAATATGTGTATGTTTTTGATGTATTCCAACGCAATATGCTTTTACATCTCATGTAATATACGATTGCCTTTTGTGTCGAACGACCTCTCTGGCACTGTGTGAAAGCATCGCGCTCGGATGATATGAGGCACACTCGTATGAGGTTTTATTGTTGCCTTTTATATATATGCCACTCAACAGTTTTGTCGTGCGTGTACTTCGTGCTTTTAATTGGTAAAACGTTCCAATGAAATATTGAAATTTGATTGAATTATAAGCAATCTCGCTTTCGAGGCATGTTTTATTTACATTAATACATTTTATCTAAAATATTTTCCGAGAGTTGATTTAAATTAAATAGAAATAACGTCCGAATGTTTAATACGTTTTTTTATCTGATTCTGCCGCATAACAGACCAATGATATGGCAAGGCTATGTTATGAAGAACTTTTCGTACAAATTCGTTCTAAATATTGACAAAACCCATGTGGTTTGTGTGCAGTCAGACGATTTTCTCAGGTTGTCGGATAGAAAACATAATCTAGAAACCGCACAAATATCAAAAAACCGATGTTAGATAACAGGGTCTTTCTGACTCCGGTTCATAACATACGAGTGACGTTGCAGTTTATGTGTAAAACGCTTGAATGCACAGCAAATACATGGCATTTTGACAGTATTCAGTATGACTCAGTAGCATAATGTAAGTAAGTTAAAGCGTAACATGGCTTTGCCATAACATTTGTCTGTTACACGGCAGAATCGGTCCCTTAATTTCAAAAGATGTCGATTTTGCAATGAGTAAATTAGCACAGAAAATGAGTCATTTATCCCAGCTTCACACATGAGACATGGCCCGTCTCGTGGAAACATTGAACTTCTCAAGCGCGGTGTGCTCGGGTCTTTATAGGGAATGCTTTTAATGCTCGACGGCCGGCAACTATTGTTGATTCGAGTTCTTAACGATTATCATTACAAGTCATGGACGTTATTAATGGTCCACAGATTATTTTGCAATACTTTCAGCGGGACATCGTCGCGTCGAATATTCAATATAAATAAGTCGTTGATCGCTGAATATCAGTGTCTGCGAATATGTGTGGAACCGTAGATGTGATGCATGTCCATGTTCATTGTTCATATAAGGTTAAGTATTAAATGCATCATAACGTTCACAGTATGAGGCAAACTGTCGGTTTGGCGCATTAAGAAATGTTAATGTAATCGCTTAGTGACATTATTACATACTAGTCTCTACAAATCAAATAAGGGAAAAGTTTATCTGTCTCTAATGAGATAAACTATGATATATACTTCAGCAGTTTGGTGCTTGGCATGCAAGGATAATATAAATAATTTAGAAAAAATTCAAAATTCGAAAACCAGTATCTCTATACTATATACCAAACAAAAATCGACATGACACATTACAAGTTTCGGAAATTGTGGATTTAATCATTTAAATCTCAAAATCATCCATTTTAAGGGCTCGCCCATAGGTAAGTGGTTAAGAGCGACGGGACCTGAATCAGAGGTCCCGGGTTCGATACCCACTTCGAGCAGCCTGTTGTCAGACAGCAGTGACAACGATTTTTACTTGGAAATATAGATAGCAATATATTTCCAAGTGAAAATAGCCCTTGCCCGGCATTGCTGCACCAATAAAAAGTCAGCCCTATTAGATTAAATCTAATAACAAAAAATCATTAAATATGGTTGGATTAACCATTGGGTTACCATCTAAAAAATACGAAGAAAGGAGAAGTTTCAACCCAACAGCTCATAGGACGTAAGATTCTGATTGCTGTTAAAATATATTAAAAAAAAATCATTTTAAATTGTTTAGTAAACAATAATACAACTATAAAAATATGTTTTGGTATTCCAACTATAAGTTACCAAGTTATATAAAAGAACTTTAGGTACCGCTTCTGCCGTAAAATCGACCAATGTTATGACAATTACGTAGCGATTTTCATATAACATGGTACTGAAAACTGTTAAAATGCTATGTATTTACTGTGCGATCAGGCGTTTTACACATAAAATCTAACTTATCCCATCTATTATAAATGCACATCACAAATACACTTTTATAATATTTTTTTGCGTTTGTGCGTTTTTTAGATTAGGTTTTATATCTAAAACACCTGACTGCACAGCAACAACTTGTCAGTTTTTAGCACCATTTTATATGAAAACCGCTACGTAACATAGACTTGCCATAACATTGGTATATTTTGCGATAGAATCGACCCCTTAGTTTCAGTTTTCAAAAAATACTAATTCACTCAAAATATTTCAATATCAATTTATTTGATATTTTCCATCACACTTACATTTTTGTTAATGTTTTGTTATCCTTCTATTCATTCTAACAAACTGAAAGATAAAAAAATCAAAAGCCTGGAAAATGCTCGGAAACGAGCGACTTGTGAAAAATGGTCGTTGAAGGTGGCATCGGGGTCAGTAAACCCCAGGTGTACGAGAAGGGTTGAATGATAAAAAAAAATTAAAAATCATAAAACGAAACAAACTAGTTTTTTTTCTAACGATGCTATTAATATTAATGGCATCTCATTTTTCTATGTTTTATTTTTTTTTTAAATTTTACGTCACCGATCTCCGAACTCTTCTATTCCAATTTAAGTTGGATTTTCATCTTTTAATATAGAAAGCTTTATGTTTGTACAGTGAGCGTAAAACACGGCGCGGAAAATTAATTGCGTAACTATAGCTTAACTAAAGTTAATAAATGGCTACCTTATTCGTTGTCATCTCTCCCATATGTTTGCATAGACATCTTTTTAATACCGGGGTATTATCATATATCAAATGATATACCTTAGGATGGCATATAAAGCGAGTCAGTATTTCCTGTACATTATAAATTATCAACGATATTCCGATTTATGTGACCGCAGCCAAGCAATATACTCAATTTCATATTTACACAACGTTTCTATATGTAACCACTCGTTCATGGAGTTATTCCCGTCGACCGAGCGTCGACTAGTGAGATGCTACTTTGTGTATAAATATATACATATGATATTTATTTGTTCTGCCTTGTTTTGTTTTATTTGTATATTGCGACATTCGTTTCTCAATACGAAATAAATAGTAGAGTCAATGAATACGTGTAATCACTATATACTCGATATCGTTTACGCAAACATCTCCGATCATAGACATTTTATGAAATAGAATAAATTGAACAATATGCACTTTTAATTTTAAATATTTGTGAGCCAGCTATGGCGTATAGCACT